TATATATATATATACATTATATACCATTATGAGTATAACTAAATACTTGTGAACTCTTAGTTTCTACTGTAAATTTACCATTTGTTTCTTAAATATGCTTTTACAAGTTAATTTTTATATCTAGTTCACACATGTGAAACAAATTTACCAAGCTGCTATCATAACTAATTTTGGTAGCAAATTTAATATTTTTAAAATAGTTGAACTTTACTATCTAAACTTTACAATTATGAAATGAGCTTCAGAATATAACTTGTTGTCAAGTAAGATTAATTTTAATGGTAATTTTAATGATATTGCAGCCTGCAAAAATTAGGAAAAAAAATCTGGAAAAATTTTAGTAATTTTTATTGCGTTCAAACACAGTTTTTTATACTGTAATTTAAACTAATAGTTAGTTTTTTTCTGAAATATCTAAGATATGAGTATTTTTTTGTAGGAGGCAAATTTGAAAAAATAATATTAACTCCATGTTTCTGCTTAGATATTTACAATGGTAGGTATATTAAAATTATTTTTCTTGGTGATGGGCAATTCCACTCAAAAGTAGGACAAAAAATGCAAGATTTTCAACTACTCTCAATAAAATATAAAAATTGAAAATAAGTGAAACATGAAAAAATTAAAATTTTGATCTCTCTTCTCTAAACATATATAGTATAATAAATAGTAGTCTTGAAATTTAGATTAAAAATTTCTTATTTAGATTTTGATCATTTTCTATTATAAATTTTGTAGATGTGGTTTTTCATAAGTAATTTAAGTTCTTAGTGAAAGAAAATTACTGAACATTGAATCATTTTTAAAATGTTGTTAAATTAAAACATAAAAAAAAAATATTTTTAAAATCTAAACTCAATTCAAAAGGTTTCATAATAATTTCTCTGTTTTAAGTGGTTTCATTACTGTGGTTTTTCCTTTCACTGCATCCTGGTCTAACTCTCATGATTTTAAAATTTTTTTTCTTGTTAAAAAGAGATGAATATGATGAATAATAATATAATGAATAATAATATGATGAATAATAACAACAGTTTAAATCTCTTAAAACATAAAAAGATGATTTTACAAGGAAACATAATTTGCATTGAAAAATAATCTTTTAATGTATTACAATTTATTGTATTACATTAATATATTTTTATGTATTACATTAATATATGTTTTATGTATTACATTAATATATTTTAATGTATTACATTAATATATTTTAATGTATTACATTAATATATTTAATTATAATAAAGTAGCAAATTAGTGTATAATTAATAAAAAATATATATATATATATAATATATATATATATATATATATATATATATATATATATATATATATATATATATATATATATATATATATATATATATATATTTATATATATATATACATATATATATTATCATTGTGGGAAGCACAAGACCCTTGAACACTAAATCTTGAAAAAATTTAACCGAGTTGCATATATATATATATATATATATATATATATATATATATATATATATATATATATATATATATATATATATATATATATATATATATATATATATATATATATATATATATATACACACACACACACACCTAAACACGCATCACAATGATAATATATATATATGTATATATATATATATATATATATATATATATATATATATATATATATATATATATATATATATATATATATATATTTTATTAATTATACACTAATTTGTTACTTTATTATAACACTATATATAGTATTATAATATATAAAATATATTTTATATATTATAATATTATATATATATATTATAATATTATATATATATATAATATTTAAATATATATAATATATTTTATTAATTATACACTAATTTGTTACTTTATTATAACACTTATTTATTATTTACTTATTTATTATTTACTGATAAGTAGTTTAAATAAATTTCTGGTCAAAGTATTAGTTGCTGGTTGCGTTTCACTATATAGAAAGTTATATATTACTTAAATTTGAAAGTTATATATTACTTAAATTTGAAAGTTATATATTACTTAAATTTGAAAGTTATATATTACTTAAATTTGAAAATTATATATTACTTAAATTTGAAAGTTATATATTACTTAAATTTGAAAGTTATATATTACTTAAATTTGAAAGTTATATATTACTTAAATTTGAAAGTTATATTACTTAAATTTGCTGTGTTGATAAATGAGAAAATGCACAATTTTTTTGAAAAAAAAAATACAAAATCTGGCTACAAGTAAAAGATAAAAACTTTTCAAATAGTTTATCAACTCCTTTGGAGATGTGGTACTGTCATCCGGAGAGTGTTGTTACTGGTTTAACAATTAAAAGGACATTCAGTCTTAACAAATATTATCCTGGTTTAACAGAAAGACAAACAGATAATGTGAATGCCTAAACATTATCATAAAATGATTTTAAAAATGATTTTTGTAAAATTTGTCAAATTTGCATTATTGTGTTATATTTTTCCTCTAATATTGGTTGCAATAAAAAATTATCAGGTTAGTTTTGCACTTGCTCCATTATTTTAACCGTGAGGTATACCCTCTGATTGATTTTTTAAGTATTTAAACATTGACTCAGCAAACATTATTTGACTTGTGGGAGACTTCTACTTCTTGTCCTGAAATACAAATTTTTTTTGCAATGTCTGCGAGAAGAATTGCAACATCTAAATTATTAAATAAATAAGTTTTCATGAAGAAATATTCAACAAACTTACTGACAAATAGTCAGTAAGTTTTGACAATTGTTTACCCTAAAGTTCTCAAAATGTGTTCTAAACCACTTTGCAAGTCTTTATCAATTTTATTTAACAAGTCTTACAAATCAAATGCTGTTATAAACATTTGAAAAAAAAAAAAAAAAAAAATTATATCCGCTATTTAAAAAGGGAAGCTAACTTTAACCATATAATCATTCTATAAATTAATGGAGTTTTTTATACATGATGAGATAATGAATTATTTAGTGCACAATTTGATAAAAAAAACAACAACATAGCATTAATAAAAAATATACTATTAGCTTTCTTGAATCAATTGATGATCATAAAAGCACTTGCAGTATTTGAGTTGTTATAAGATTTTGCAAAAGCATTTGACATTTATTTTAATGTTAAGGTTATTAGTAAAGCTCGATTGGCTCCTGAAAAGAAACATAAATTGTGTTGTAAAGGTTTTCTTAAAAGATTTCAAAAAGTAATATTTAAAGAATTTTTGCCAGAAAAAATAACAAAGGGAAAATAGATAATGGAGTCGTCCAAGACTCAGTTTTAGGTCTTCTTTTTGGTATTTATAAATGATTTAATAATTACAATCAAAAATGAAGGCAAACTATTGTCTGACAATACTAAACTTTTAGCAGTCTTTAATAAGCAGAATAAATAAATAAGCAATTATTGGTAAACTGTCAAATTTTTAACTCTTGGCCATTGTTGGTTTAGTATTTATTTTAATTAACTAAGTTATAATATTTTGTTAAACTAATAAGTTAATATTAGTTTAAATTAATGTAGTTTATTCTGAAATAAATATCTGATACATTAGTTTTTTTTTGTAGGAGACAAAAATAATGTTAAATCTATGTTTCTGTTGATATTTTTAATGGTATAATTGATATATATTAAATTTTGTGAAAAACTTTATAGGACTCTTTAAATAATTTTAACAAAAATGTTTTTTAGCAAAATAAAAAATGTTTTTATTTCTATTAAAAACAAATATTACTTTAAAATCTATGAAAATATACTGCTTTTGAGACCCAGAATGACATACTTTTAAATAATTTTTTTTACAATAGGAATTTTACCCCAAATGGGAAAGTTTGAGCTTAAATATCTTTACAACTTAAAATGATGGTGAATAATGCCAAATATATTAAAGTTCTTTTCTTAGAATAAAGACAATTGATGTATAAAATTGAACACAGTGAAACATTAAGTTGAAAAGTAGTCTTAAAAAGTCGTCAAAGTAAAGTAGGAAAAAAATTGCAAATTTTTCAGCTAATAAAATATAAAAATTGAAAATGAATGAAACATGAAAAAATTGAAATTTTGAACTCTTAACTCTAAACAATTCAATAGAATTCTTGAAGTTGCCATCTTGAAACTTAGACTGAAAATTCCTTATTTAGAAAATTCCTTATATTTTCTATTATAAATTTTGTATCGCCATTTTGTAAAGCCATCTAAAGTTGAAAAGTATTTAGTTTTATTCGTATCTAGTATCTGCAAAGAATTTTATTACAGGAATTGTTAATTGGCATTAAATTGATTTCAGCAATTTGTTAATTTAGTCATAGTTCAAACAAACAAAGTTTATCACAGAGAAAAGTGTTTGATATTAATTTGCGTTATACCCGTTTATAATATAATAAAATATTATTAAAGGATTAGTTTAAAAAGCAACAGTCAGATGACATTCACTTCTTAGTTTAATTCCAATGGAACTCCATAATGGTTGACTGTTTGCCATGACAGAGAAACTAATTTCCAAATAGGACTTAGTTATTAATTAAACTGATATTAATATATCTTTTAAATAATACACATTACAACTGATATATGATTTATATACTCTAAACAATATTAAAAATAGTATAGCACATTAAATCTTTTATAGCATTTTGGTAATGCTGAAATATAAATAAAATTTGGTAAAAAAGGTTAATAATACATAATAACGTCAATGTTTTAGATTTTATTGTTGATATTTTTTTGTTTAAAGAATTTCGGGAAAAAGAAAGAAACAGCTACTTATATTATTAACAAAAAAGTTAAAAAATAATACATCCAGACTATTTTCACAATTTTAAAAAGTTTTAACTGTGAAAATAGCTCTGATAACAAGCTTAGTTTTTGTTTAAATGAAACATTACTATTTTTTGTTAGATACTTATACTATAATTTATTAGAAACAATTTTAATTTTTTATTTTTTGCTTATATTGTTATTTATTTGCATACATGATTAAAGGCTTGGTGATTAAAAGCATTGAAAGCATCAACAGATATTCAGTCAATGTTACCATAAATTCTGTCCTTCCAGTGTGGCATTTAAAAACAGATTTTGTAGTTAAATGCAAAGATCCAAATGGTGTAGTCAATTTATATCCTGTTACAAACTACATAGCTATTATTTCTTCACTACAAAGCAACACTTTGTACAAATTTTATGCAGGTTTAAAAAATGAATTTGGTTTCTATGTGTATGGGCCAGTGTTTCTTTACCAAACTGACAAAGATAGTAAGATTTTATTTATACATAAATACACACATACATACATACATACATACATACATACACACATACATACATACATACATACATACATACATACATACATACATACATACATACATACATACATACATACATACATACATACATACATACATACATACGTACATACTTTCTGCTACTTCTGCTTATTTAAGTCAGCTAATGTATATACAATCCCTGCATGTTTGTGATATTTAAATTATTTGGTTTATGTACACTCCCCTGCACCAATTCTCATTTAAATCAGTCAATGTATATATAGTTCTTATCTTTTAAATACAATAATATAACAATAATTAAGACTAAATACTTCAAAATAAAACAAAATAATACACACAAAAAAATTGGCCTGTAAAAGGTTACCCATGCAGCCTCATTGTTGGTAATTATATGTAGTTAATAAGTATTGCATAGACAGTTTATAAATTATAACTATATATATATAAAAAACAGAATAAGAAAAAAATCACTAATTTATTTGGATATCTAATGAAAGTTATTTTCATTAGATTACTAATTCATTTGATTTGGTTATCTAATGAAAAGAATAAAAAAGAAAATTTTCAGGTAGAAAATGTTGCAAAGTTTTTTGCAAAGAAAACTGTGAAAAAATATAGTTATCTAGTGTTTTATTTTTGATGAAAGAAAATATTATTTGAATTTATAAAATTTGAAATAAAAAAGTTTTACAAAATAGCAATGACATTCAGAAACATAGAACATTATAACATTGAGTCAGTTCAATGGAACATAAATTACTCATCTTTGGTTTATGCTAAAACTTTTTGATTTTTTACATGTTTATGAGGAAAACATTTAAAAAATTTTAGATATATTTTATGAGGAAAACATTTTAAAATTTTAGATAAAATTTTAATGCGGCTCTTAAGAATGCTTTTCCATAATAGATATAATATATAATAGTTGATTTAAATTAACTATAAAGTTTTTTTAGTTTTAAAAAACTTAAAATATTTTGATCTTAATATTTGCTTAAATTTGATTAAAAATTGTTGTAAATCAAATTAGATATAGATTTACTTTTTGTGGATAAATATTATACAAAAATTTAGGTAATTGAATTGTTATGAAATATTTATAAACTGGCATCAAATTGAGCAAAGTCAAGGCTTATTACAGCTGGATCCATAATGTTACACATTGTTTAGCTAAGATAACATCATTTTTTTTTTTAATTTTTATATGCAATTGTATTAATGAGTGTTTATTAAAAAAAAAAAATTTAAAAATATTTATTGGACGAGTTATTAGTCTTTCAGTTGCCAAAAAATTTGGTGGTCTAAAATTCTAGCTCTGCAAACATTGTTAACTAAATAGAAAATGAACTAGGAGTTCATTTTTTTTAAATAAATATTGAAAAAATTATTCATGTTAACAGCATTACATTAAAAGTAGAAGTAGAAGTTGTAAGTTTTAGATGCTCAACTTATAAAACTGTTTTAAATTTGATGCAAAAGGTTAAGTTAATAACATAAAATCTGTTGGGTTTAAAATAACTGCACTTGATAGAACTAAAACCTCTTCAACCAAATGTTGGAAAAAGGAAAACAAAGATTTAGACTATATTATAAATCAGTTCAAAATTTGATTGATATGATTTATAATATAATTACTCCAGAGGGATAAACAATGGAAAAAATTTTCAACAGTATTTTTCTACTTTCAAAAACACAAGCTAGAGAATTAAAAAATATAATTAAAAGTAAATATAATGGAAACCTTCTTGAAAATTTGATAGATAAATAAACAAAAAGATAGTTGCAGAAATGCTTCAAATGCAATTGTTTTGTTCAGGAAAAAAATAGTGTGTCAGTAGTTGGTATAAAACAACATATTTAAAAGTGACTACTTTTAGTCAAAATCAAACTCCATATAAAGTTTAAAAAATAGCATGATTTTTTTAAAATTTTGTGAGTTAATATTTAAGTACATTCTTGTGTTTGGCAACATTTAAAAACTTGTATAAATAGCAACTAAGCAATTTTACATGTCTTTGTTGTTTATTTTCTAAAAGTTGAAAAACCTGGTAGTCAAAGTCAAAGTTACTGTGTTATACTTGACCATCAGAAACACAGAACGAATGCTGTTCATTCATATAAACTTAAACAATTAAAAATTATTAAATAGCTTATTTATTTCAGTGACAGGGCTGCATCAAAATATAAAAATTACAAAAATATTAACAAGCATAAAAAATATTAACAACCATAAATTTTTGCTACCATAAACAAGTTTTCAACAGTTTTCAAGTTTACTGCTAAGTAGAACTTTTTTGCATCTGATTAAAGTCCTTGTAGTAGAGTTAATGCGATGGTAAAATGTCTCGTTGCATGACCCAGTCTTCAGTCAATTAAAAACCTTATTGATACATTAAATAAATATACCACTGATGTCTTCAAAGCACCAAAGGAGTATCTTCATTTTGTTAACAATTTCAATAAAAACATATATTACAAAGTTCAATTTAGAAGAGAGATATTGTGCATCTTTTACAATACCTGAGGCATAAAACATCCACAGCTTTATTTTAATATCACTTACCTCAATAAAAGTGAGAATAGATTTAGTTAAAGGTGCTTGTGCTGATGAAAATGTTTTTACTATAAATGAGTTACCATACTGAAACATCAAGCTATGCACCAGGAGCATATGTAGCCTGCGTTTAGTATGTATAATGGTATTTAGAAAATATTGTTAGTACTCCAAAAAAGAATCAGGATCTTTATGTTAAAATTATGAAAAAATTTACAGTATATAGATATTATCTACAGTGTGAAATCTTCTGTGTATAATCTATAGAAGAAGAAAAGTGGATTTCTTAATACAAACTTGAAAGAAGGCAATAAAGTAAATTTGCTGTTTTAGAAAATTTAATTTTCTTAACAGTTGCTTTGCATCAGGAATCAATTTTTAAAAATCTTAATTCAACTCAGTTTAATGGCTCATAATTATATATATATATATATATATATATATATATATATATATATATATATATATATATATATATATATATATATATATATATATATATATATACATATATATATATATATATATAAATATATATAAATATATATATATATATATATATAAATATATATATAAATATATATATAAATATATATATATATATATGTATATATATATATATATATATTTATATATATATATATATATTTATATATATATATATATATATATAAATATATATATATTTATATATATATATAGATATATATATATATATATATATATATATATATATGTATATATATATATATATATATATATATATATATATATATATATATATATCTATATATATATATATATCTATATATATATTTATATATATATATATATATATATATATATCTATATATATATATAAATATATATATATTTATATATATATATATATATATATATATATATATATATATATATATATATATAGAGAGAGAGAGAGAGAGAGAGAGAGAGAGAGAGAAAGAGAGAGAGGAAGAGTCAATTCTACACACATACATAGTATATTCAAACATATTTTATATTTTTACTGATGAAATAACTGTGGTTATCAAATTTAAGCAGTTGTTTAAACTGAATCAATTTTTTAATTTTATATGAAAAGCTTTAGTTAGCTGGACCATTTGACCATTTTTTTTATTTTAAACTTATTCTTTTAATCTCATTTTAACTTTTTACATTTTATATATTTTACATATGTTTTTACTTTTTATTGTTAATAAAAAGTAAAAACAACACATTTCACTTAAGCATTGTATTATTTTTATTTTTATTAAATGATTTTAGATGTTTCCAAAACATTGTGCAAAGTTTTAAATGCTGTCACTTTACAAGGGTATCAATTTTTTTAATAATTTTTTTAAGTTTTTATTTACTTCCAACAAGACTGAAAGCAACACTATTAAGTTATGAGTTACTAGAAAACAAAAAATAAAGTTAAAGAGCAAAGAAACCATTGACAGAAGACTTGAAAAACTAAAGGTTGAGTCTGGAAAACATAAAAATGGGGTAGAGTTCCAAACAATCGATGCGAGACTAGTTAAATAACTATGTTTACAGTGTGCTTTTGGACCTTGTCTAGAAGAGACAGTATCATTAGAAGAATTTGCCTATATACATCCTTTTGACTAGTTTTTCTAATGAGAATATAATCATGAGTAAGATAACACCAAGTACAATAAATCTAACTGGAGTAAATAATAATCCAATAATAATTCAGTAGTATAGTTCAGTAGTCCAAGAAGAAGAGAGAGGTTCAGTAGTCCAAGAAGAACTGAGTGAGAAGAAGAGTGAGGTTATCAAAAACTAATATTGGAATGTCAACAATCTTGTGATTGTTGTTTGCAGAAAATTTTTTGAGTTAAAATTCACAAGCCACTGCAAGCCAAGCTGTTACAGATGAGAAATTGAATGCCTATTTTAAGTGATCTAAAAGAGAAAACTTTGTTAAGACAGGATTGTAAAGTAAAATGTCAGCAAAAAAAGATGCTACTTGAGATGTAAAATTGTTGTAAAAATTATTAATATAGAGAAGAAACAATACAAGACCAAGGGTAAAACCTTCTGTACCCTAAATATTACTAGAAATGAAGAAGAGTATTGGCCTTAATGGATAACTTTATTGCTGCAGTAAAAAATGTCAAATACACCATATGCAACAAATTTATGGAGAAGACCAGCATTTCAAACTTTGTCAAAAGCTTCAGATATTTCAAGGACCATAGCACTAGCTTCATCGCTTCTATCTTATGCTCAATAGATTCTTTTGCTTAGAGCAGTTAGCAAGTCAGCCATAAAATAAGAAGATTGAAAACCATATTAATTTTCAGAAAGTTAATACACTCAAGATGGAATGTGGATGAGAAGGCTGATCTAGAGTTAGAGGGGTCATGGTGTTCTCCAAAGTTTTTAGAAATTGAAGTCCCAGATGCCATTTTCCAGTAGGCAGGAAAACAAGATTCAGTCGAGCACTTATTAAATAGTTTAGAGAGAATTAAAGAGTGTTTAGGAGAACATCTTTACAAGACTATGAAAAGAATATTGTCTGGACCAAAAGCCATAGAAGACTTTAGTTAAGAAATATTTTTAGCCAAGGAAGTAGAAGTGATTTGGATATCTAATAATTGGTTAACTTGTTTAACTGGAATAGGGGAAAGAGTATGGCCATATAATTTAAGTATTGAGTTAGAAGAAAAGTTCTTTGTAAATAGTGCTGCCTTATGCTAAGGAGAGGTAATAAGATCCAAAAAAGTTTAAAACCATAGAGTAAATTGAGGTTTGACTTGGAACCAACAAGAAGGAATAAAAGCTTCCATACCTGTCTTGATCTAGAAGGTTTTGTAGGATATGCATTTATCAGCAGGGAGAGAAAAAACATCAGTCCATGGACTGCCACAAAGAAAATTTTGGAAAGAATCCTAAAACCTGTTTAACTGTAAGAAAAGTACTTTCTTTTTTATTATAAACTTTTTTAACTGTAGAAAGCGTATGAAGATCTACTATGATCTGAAATACTATGAATCAATATTAAGTTCAATAGTTAAATTTGATTTTCTTGTTCTGATGTATCTTTAGAAGAGGTAATAAATTAGAGATGCAATGTTTGACTTATTTTTGTTATTAGAGATTTTCCAAAAGTCTCTTTCAGTCTCTTTTCCAGTTTATTGAATCTAAAACTAAGAAATTCACTAGAAATAATGGAGCGTAATATAGGACAGCACCTTTTTGTATTGATTTTCTACAATGATAAAAAAGTGCTTATTTTCAAGAGAGTTGTTTTTTTGAAAAACCTGAAAAAAAAGGTCACAATTAAGTATATCAGCTGCACAAGAATGTGAAAATCATAGAGTAGAATGACACTTGAGTTGGAACCTAAAAGAAATGATAAAAGTTTCTTTTAGAGATCTATAAACACTTTTATCTTGTTTTTCTTCTACATTAGATTCAACCTATCGTCACACTTCTTATTAATACCTTTAAGCTGAATTGGATTCTTTTCATAATTTTCCTTTTTGATGGTGATTGGACTGACGTGTTTCCTTTTTCTGACAAAAAAAAACCTTTTTAATAAGTGTAATGTGTAGCAATGTGTCAGCAAAAAGTTGAAAGACACCAGCCTTTTTTTAAAAGATTAAAAAAAATAAGAAACATTAAAAGTAAAAATATTTTAAATTAATTAGAATAAAAAAAAAATACAAGGATAACAAATGAATTAACATAAAATTTTAAATTCTGTTTAGAGTATAGCAAGCACTTAATGGTGTCAAATAGCATAGATTGTAGATGTATACATACCTCTAAAATTTGATCTCCACATCTCAAACCTGACTGCAAAAATGCTAAACTTTCTTTTTTAATATCAGATACATATACGTTACCTAGTCGCCTTTAGGGTGTTAGTAAGAAGTGCAGTAAAAATGTGAGTTTAAATAAAAGTTATGAGATAAAAGATATATAGAGATGCATGGTTGGAACCACTTAAAAGAGAAAAAATAATAATTTCACACAAGCTAGGGTCAGAGACAAGGTAAAAATCAAAGAGTAAAAGTAAGTTATTAGATCTGGAAAAGAAGTCACAAAATTAACTATTTGAGTTAAAGATTGTGAAATAACAGTTATGAGCTTCATAGTCTTGTATTTTACAATTTTTTGAGCTTGATAGTCAGAAGGGTCAGTGGTGTTAGAGCCTTGTCATTCAGTGTGATGAGTATTAAAGTCACCACTAACAACAAAATTGGCTGAGGGATAAAGAGAAAAGGCATAATCAATTTAATCAGAAATCTAAAAGATTAGTCTTGAAAAGAAGAAGAACAATAAAAAACAAAAAGAAAGGTGACAGAGTAAAGAATTAATAAGCAGAAGCAGATAAAAAAATGATCAGAGGATTTAGAGGACCTAATGGAACCTAATGGAAAGTTACTTCAAAGACCACTAATATTTGGGAAAGATATATTGAAAAAGTTAGGTGGTGGTGATGGATTTTTATGTTTAATATTTTTTGTTACTTTGAGTATGGTTTAGATAAAAGAAAACTTGAATCTTTTATAGATTGAGAACTCAAGCAATGAGCTATGCAGTTACCTCAGTCCTGCTAATTAAAATTGTTGCTTTTGACTCCTTATATTGCCTTAACAATGCACACTAAAAGTGCTAACAGAGACGCTATCCATACACAACATGGAACTGTTAGTAAAATGTTTGGGAAACCTTACTATCAGCCAGCATCAGAACTATTAAACTAAAATTTAGAGGTGTATCCTCATTAGGAGATAACAGGAAGTGTTGCTTAACCACTATCAAGGAGGCACAAGTACAAATCTTGTAGAGTCAAAAAGAACTAGGATTCATCCTAGGCTGAAAAAAATTTAACACAGGTGGCAAAACAGCAAACTGTAGGGCAGGTAGTACAGGGTTACACATTACCAGTAACAGAGTGATGGTGATAATCCCAAACCCGACCTGACCTGGAGTAGTTAAAAGAAGTTACTTCTGTAAGCAGTATTTTAAAATATTAAATGCAATTATTTAGAAATGAAAAAAAATTACATCTGAATACTGGAAATTAGGGTGAGGGTATACTATATAGTGGTAGTCACTAGTTGTTCAATGAGCTTTAACACATCAGAGATTTGAACAAAACACAAACATACATATAGTAATAAAGTAACCATATACATATAGTTAAAGATTATGGGTAAGCAAACACTGCATCAGAAGTTAACAGAACAAACAGCAACTTACGGGGGAGTTAACACTGTGGCAGAGGTTCAGACAGAACATAAAAAACATATGTAAAAAATTATAGGTAAGCTAACACAATAACAAAACACCTCTAAATTATGGAGCAGAAAAAAAGAGATACCACTATAGACATGAAAAATATTAGATAATTATAATTACAGGAAGTACACTTCCTCTAGCCTCTGTTTAAAAAGCAAATTGTACAAGGCAGCAGCAGCAGGAATCGAAACAGGTTACACTGGATTACTTATTACCAGTAACAGGGTGATCAATGACCTGACACTGACAACTAGAGTTTCAACACATTTTCCACAGTACTAGTTTGATCTTCATAGTCCCAAATGCCACAGTACCTATACTTCTTTGATCTTCATCGATTTTATGACAACCATTGCTTGAGCAAAGCATGTATTCCTATGACAACAGAGCTATTGCCTTTTTAATACATCTTAGTATACTTTTTTTTTTTACTTAATGAAGCTTTTTGCAATTACTTTTTTTAAAAATTATTAAAATAAAAACTGAAACTTATATGTGTATAATTATCGTGTATGATTTTTGAATATAATTTTTTTCAATTAAAGTTTTTAATAAACAAGACATATTGTCAAAAAAAAAAGGTTTTGCACTCCATAAATATAACAAAAACTAAAAATATAGTTTTTGTTTTTAAAGTAAAAATATGTTTATTTTTTCTAAATAATTATTTATATTTTTCTAAATAAATATATATTTTTTAAATTTTAGATTTCAATTATTTGGTTTATTTATTTTTATATGGGTTTAGAGTTTAAATTAAAATTTGTTAAAGTTAAATCTGATTCTTTTGTAAACTAAAAATATTTTAACCTTTTATGTTTTAAAACCTCAAGTCTGTCATAAAATATTCATTGATTAATGTAAGTCAATCAGATTTAAACAAATAATTACTCCTAATTTTTTTATTATTTGTTTATAGAAATTTACTATTGATGAATTTACAGATTTATCCAACATTTAATGAATCTTTAAATGCTTATGTGGAATTTGAATTTTTTTTACCCCCATACTTAAGTTTCACTTCTGGAAATGTTATACAGAATTTCGTTAAAGCAGATGGCAATAGAATAAAATACTTTGTAAGACATTTTTATATTTTATTTTTAACTAATGTAGTTCACTAGTCACAGCAATATTGAAACTATATACAAATTATTTTTTTTAAACCATTAAACATACATTAGACTTTGTCTTAAACTTTAAGAAATCTTTTTTGTTAAATCAAATGATTTTTATGAAAGCAAAAAAATTCTAAAAACAAATTAAATATTTTATTGAATTCTAAAAACTATTGAAAAATACTTTAGTTAATCCATTACTGTAAACATATTTTTTGGTGTAATAGATTTATTATACCAAGCATACTTTAACCTGTCAGTCAAAATATGTACTTAATCAGTTTTATTTTCAGTTAATATATGTATATATATGTATATACATATATATACATACAGCATTTTTAGTTTCGAATTGAATCTTGAATTGAAGCAGTTTGATTCATGAATCGAATTAAATCTCAAATTGAATTGCTAGTTTAAGAAAAATTTAAGTTTTTTTATCTCTATATTTTTACAATATCCAATTACACAATTAGAATGTTATTTAAATGAGCTCTTTTTTAACCCAAATTACCCGTTTTGCCTTTTTTTCACAAGTCTATTATGTTTTCTGTCAATTAAACCACAGAGTTATCTCTTTCTGATGAACAATTTTTTAAATCTAAAATATCATACACTCTAGATTTTGGGCAAATATTAAAAAAACAACTCCAATAAAATTTGAGCTTAACAGAGCCACTCAATTCTTACCCCTTAAGCACTTTAAAAAAAAAATTCTCAAAAACCTTCAAAAGTTGCAAATTTTACAGGTCCAGAGGGGGGGAAGTTTAATTACAAAAATTTGAAATTTTTATTTCTAGGTTGTTTTTCTTTATCTATATATTTGAGTAAAAATACATGGTATCATAGTTATTTTCAAAAAATATTTTAATTTTTGTAATTTGATTTGAAAAGTTTACACTATATGATTATATACTTACCCCATTTATGTTATTACCAAAAAATTCTAATTAATTGTGTAGAATATTTACTTTTAATTTTTTTTAATTAATAATGTAAATCTACAATAAAGTTCAGTAATTTCTATGAGGTGGTAATTTGAAAGGACCCAGCTATAGTAGCTTAAAGAACAATTCAGCTGTTCTATTTGTTGCAGTAGTAATTTGTTTTACAATAATTATTTTAAATTTGATTTTTTAGATTAGTAAATGTTAAATTAATTAATTTAAATATGTATAAAGAAGAAGACGTGGTCAGAAAACAGAATATGAAAGAACATTAAAGTCTAAAAAAATACTATTTGTTATTGAAGAAGCAAAACCACTAATAAAAGGTAATAATTAGTTTTATAATAAATCCCTTTAGCTAAAAACTTTAGCTAAACTTTTTATTTCTTCTTTTTATAATTAAGGCTGTCAGCTTCCAACAGGGAGGAGATACTGCAACACTTTGCTTACAAACAATCATTTTTGCCAAAAACATCAAAAAAAAGTCACTTTTCTTGCTTGTCCTCCTCAAAAAAAAATTCAACAATGTGCAATAGAAAATAAGTGTGAATTTATTTTGCCCAAGGTAAAAGAGCCATAGATTAAAGCTAGATTTTTTATTCTAAACAATCAAAGTCTAGTGAAAAATTTTTCAAATCTGGACAATATGTATTTAAAACTTTAGAAGCATGAAAAAAGAGAATCCGCTGCAGATTTGGCAAAGCAAACAAGAGTTTAAAGTTTACCTAAACAAAATATTTTGGATTGGCATTCTTGATCTTAAAAATACAATTAAAAATGATAAAAGAAGATCTAATTCAGACAAGCTTGAGGATTTAGAGTTTCTGGAGGACCAAGAAGGGGAAAGAAGATTTATGCTTGGATCAGAAGTACAGAAAAATAGTATATATTTCTTTGAAAACAAAAAAAAAGGTTTGCAAGGCTTTCTAAGCAAATTACAATTTGCAAGCCACATAAAAAGATTTAAAATAAAAAACAAAAATAACAATGTTGACTTACTATTGCTCATATATTAAATTAAATTGATTATTTTTACATTTTGAAGCAACAGTGAGTTGCAGAATGAGAAACATTGTGTGAAACAACAGTATAAAGAATTAGAGGGTACAACAAATGTTGAGATTGATACAGATATTAGTGAGGACTCTTTGCATGATTCTGATTTTAATCCTGGAGAGTGGTTTTAAAGAAAAGCTTTTCAACAAAAAGTCACTGCTGAAATTCACATAGATATTTTTGCTGGTAATGTAGCTTTTATGGCTACAATCAGTGATATTTCTCCAAGTGTTTTGCATAAAGTTACAGGTGCAGTTTTAACTCAATTAGGAGCTGATCTGACAGATTTCAAATATAGCCAGTCTACAGCAGCTAGAAAAATGAAATATGCCAATTGTAATATATGCATGATATCAAAAGAAGATAATTTAACAAGCAGTGAATGAACCCCCATACAACATGAATGAATCCCCATACAACAATGAGGAAGATAAACAGAATACATTGTCAACTGTTTAAAATGTTTGGTTTGCTTTCAGAACACCTGTAAGACATTCAAAAAAACTTTCTAAAAGTAAATTTATTGAAAAAAAAAATTATCTTTTCTTAATAAAAGGAAGAAAAGTGGTGAAAATAAACATAAACACAACTGAAATTATTTGCTCTTAAAATTTAATCCAATAACATGTAACTATCATCAAATATGTAATTTTTGTAATTGTTGTAATTGTATATGTTGTAATTGTAATTTTTTCAATTCAAAATTTTTTTTTTTTTTTTTTTTTTTTTTTTTTTAACATCTTCACTTCCAACAAGGCTGCAAGCAACCACTATAAGAGTTGGAAGTTACTGGAAGAGAAAAGACTAAATCTGTAGAGCAAGATAACGATTGACTGATGACTTAAAAGATTGCAAATTATATGAATCAGGAAAGCAAGATGAAGGAAGCGAATTCCAAAGAACTGATGTTCGAGGAAAAAAACTAGAAGAATAAGAGTTTTTGAAGCACTTAGGAACAGTCACAGAAAAAGGATGAGACTTAATTGAATGGCGAGTAACACGAGAATGAATTTTAGTAGATGGCACAAGGGACGCTAGCTCTTTAGAGCAGTGCCCATTATAGTATTTGTAGAAAAGAGAAAGAGAAGCAACATTACGACGATGTGACAAAGGTTGGAGATTGGCTGCCAGAGCAGGTCCAACTATGTTTACAATTCGTTTTTGCACCTTGTCTAAAAGAGAAAGAGCATCATTAGAAGATCCGCCCCAGATGTGGCAACAGTATTCCATACAGGGACGGATTTGAGATTTATAGAGATAGAGAATAGAATCTGGAGTAAGAAAGTGTCGAGCTCGATAAAGAGATGCAACCTTAGCAGATGCTAATTTTGCAATGGATTTGATATACGGTTTAAAAGAAAGATCAGAAGTAAGAGTTAATCCTAGAAGATGAATGGTAGATGACTCATCTAGTACATTACCATTCATAAATATAGGAAGATCTAAATTATTACGATAACGATTGGCCGAATAAAATTGAGTTTTATCTGAATTAAAGTTCACCAGCCACTGTGAGCCCCATGCTGTAGCAGAAGTGAGATCCTTTTCAAGCTCAGATACCCCCTCCAAGCAATCAGAGAGTGTAGGCTTCTTATCATGACAAGAGTAAATGGTAGTGTCGTCAGCGAATAATGCCACCTTAGATGTGAGAATATCTGGAAGATCGTTAATGTAAATTAAAAAGAGTATAGGGCCAAGGATTGAACCTTGAGGAACCCCTGAAGTTACAGGATGTGAAGAAGAGTGTTGTCCATTGAGGACAACTTTTATACTACGATTGGAAAGAAAGGACTCAATAATCTTAAAGACGTTACCAGCTACACCATAAGAAGAAAGCTTATGGAGAAGACCAGCATGCCAAACTTTATCAAAAGCTTTAGAAATGTCAAGTGCGATAGCCTTAACCTCTCCACCACTATCTAATGCACGGTAAAACCTATCGGTTATTACTGTTAGCACATCAGCTGTAGAACGAGAAAACCGAAATCCATATTGATGATCAGAAAGTAAGTTATTTGATTCAAGATGAGAGATTAAGTGTTTGTTAATTAAAGATTCAAAAACCTTGCTTATGACAGGAAGAAGACTAATGGGACGGTAGTTAGATGAATCAGATCGCTCTCCGGAATTTTTGAAAATAGGGATAACAGATGCTGCTTTCCAGCATGATGGAAAACAAGACTCTGATAAGCACTTGTTAAATAGTTTAGAAAGTATGGATGAAAGCTCCGGAGAACACCTCTGCAGGACTACAACAGGAATGTTGTCAGGACCACAAGCTGTTGAAGAGTCTAAGCAGGAAATTACTTTAGATACAGAAGCTGAAGTGATGCGAATGTCAAGCAAGGGATCAACCTGTTTGACGGCTATGTCAGGTAAAACGCAACTAGTGGAATCAAGAGATGATATTGATGAAAAGTTCTTAGCAAACAATTCAGCTTTGTCTTTAGGTGAGGTGACAAAGTCTGAACCATACAAGAGAGAAGGAATAACAGATTTGCCCTTATTATTGATACTGTTAAAGATTCTCCAGAAGTCTCGAGAGCCTAATTTTTGTGATGAGATACGAGATTTAATGACCTGGGAATAGCGAGCTTTGGCGTCAGACAAAACCTTTTTACAATGGTTTCTGGCGATAGTGAACAGATGTCTGTTTTCTGGAGAATTGTTTTGCTGATAGATATGGAAGTAACGGTTTCGATTAGAAATTGCTGCAGCGCAATGTGAGGAAAACCAAGGAGAAGAGTGAGGCTTGACCTGGAATCGTCGAGAGGGAATAAAAGATCCCATGCCAGCCTGAATCCACGAAGTTATGTAAGAAGCACATTTGTCAGCAGGAAGACGAAAGATTTCTACCCAAGGGCCATCACGAAGAAAATCACGGAAAGAGTCCCAGTCAGCTTTAAGGTAGTTGTATGTGGTACAATGATAGGGGGATTCTGATGAAGTAGAAGAATT